GTTGAAAGGTCTCGACAAGGTACTTTAGTATTTGTCGTTGCGTATGGCAAGTAGATTTTGAGTGGTGACTATAATGGATCGAGCTCGTGCGATCGTGGCGTTCATCACTCCGTTTGGTCTTTTCGAATGGAGCCGGATGGCTTACGGTTTGACCAACGCCCCTTAGATCTATTAACGTATCATCGACAATGCGCTGTACGGGTTAGCCCGGTTCCCAAGATCGAACGAAGGCAACAGCGGTACTGACCCTTTTTGAGGAGAGACAACACGAGATCTGGGTACACCGTCTTTGTTAGGTCGTAGGTCCTACATCGACGACATCCTAATCCCCGCGGAGTCGTGGGATTGATTATGTGAACGGGTCAAAGACTTACTGGAGGCGTGTAACAAGTGGAATCTCTTGACAAGCGTGGTGAAGCGCTACTGGGGTATGCGCAAGGTGGACTATTTCGAACATCAGGTGGCTAAAGATGAGCAAGATCCGAAGGATCCGACCATGTTAACCAATCTCGAATTCCCGGGATCACTTTGAGCGATGCAATCGTTCCGGGGTGGTTTGAGCTACTATAGTCTTTTATTGAGGACTCTTCTATCTTCGCGGCTGTACTGTACACACTACGAGAAATGAACTTTGCGGCGATGGCCAAGCCGGATGTCCGGATCAAGATTGACAGATCCTGGCCTCCGATGTTACAGACCTGGATTCGGTGGATCTGGATCGATAGTCCGATCAGAGGAAGGCAGCTGTGAATATTCCTGATCTGGAGGAAGACCCCCCCCCCCCCCGACGGCGTCGAATCCCGATGGGTCCGAGCGCATCGGGTGTTCACAATGTTGAAGGACAAGATCGCGACAGCTCCGAGCCTTCGGCGTTTCGATCCAGATTGTAAGCCATGGTAATCTTCCACGCCTGTGATTGGGCTATTACGGCTATTCTAGCGGAGGAACATGACGGGATCTACTATTCAGTCACTTTTGTCAGTCGAACTCTCAAGCCGAATGAGCTTAGCTATATGGTGTTAGAGAAGGCGATTCTCGCACTTTTACGAGTTCTCGATCATAACTACAAATTTCCTGTGGGACGATCCATCACGAGCGTGACTCGACACTCGACTTTGGCCTGGTTGCTCAAATCAGCTGGCCTTCATAGTCGTCTAGGTCAGTGGGTAGCCCTTCTGCCGCCTTGGACTTTGGAGATCATTAAGTGTACGCATGGGTAAGACGATACCGTAGGTGTCGTTGCGGCGTGTATTACGCCGAGATCCGAGGTGAGCGGTGTGTAGATCCGGATCGCGCCCAGAAAAAAAGCCTAGACGCCGGAGCCAAACTCCGAGTTTGACAGTACGACCGGATGAGGATTTGTACGTGATACCTTTTGACGGATCCGCCTGCGTGAAACGCGGCGGGGGGCGCTTACATCGGGATCTTGTGGAAACTACTAGAATGGACCGCGGCCCAGGCCAGATCTGCGTATGCTAAAGATCTTACGGGTTACCGAGACAGAATACCATGAACTTTTATTGGGCCTTGATCGGCTGGATGAAGTGGATTAGAAGCGGTTGGTGATCTGCGGTGATTCAAATCGGGTGATTCGACAAGTCGGAGGTGAGATCGACTGCAAGGAGCAAGAATTGACGCTACTGAAGCAGAAGGGGATGAATCCGATAAGACAGTGGCCAGATCACGATCAGGTACGTATCAAACGTAATTGGAATGCCAACGCGGACAGCATCGCCAGTGCAGTGTCGCAAAATCAGTACGGGGTGGAGGTGGACGAATAATCCAGCTACCAAGATCTCGAGACGTTGGATCGGCTGGAATAAGTCATTGTGGCCCAATGTGGCGATCAAGTGATCAATATCTCAGCTGTATCAACCCGATCTAGAGTCATGGCAGACCAACCCCTCATATCTTGCAGGACGAGTAAGTGGAAGAAGTCCTGACCGACCGCATCAGGAAGGTCAAGGGTGAGGAAGCGTGGACCTTGAACCTGAAGAAGTATCTGAACGGAGATGTGTCGGATCTGAGCAGAGAAGAGGCCAAATAGTACAGTCTGGTCGTAAGCGACTACGAGGATACGAATAATCTGATCTAGAACCACCCTCCTACAAGGCGGACAGGCAAAGCTTGCGATGGATTGGTACGATTGGTGATGGCCGAGGCGCTACATCAAGATGTTCTATATCACTCTATCATGCCAGGCTTGAAGGTGGACATCACGGGATAGGTCGCAAATGCTAACGGATCCGGGAACGTTTCCAAAAGGAAGATATTTACAAGAGCGTACAAATGTGCGTCGGTGAATGCGTGGACTATGAGACAGGCAAGGGTCGACCGACGATTTCGGGCAAATTACCGGGGAATGTATAAGCGACGTATCAACATCATATCATCGCTATGGATCACATTCCCTCACTACCCAAATCCTAAAAAAAGAAATACCGAGCTGCTGATCTGGGTCTCTTTGCCGACGATGTGAACACGACGGCTATATCGCCCAGGAACGCTCAAACAATCACAGACCCTATGAGGAGTGCATTTTACGCCGATTTGGAGCCAGTGAAATGGTTCGGCTTGATCGTGAATCAGGGTTTATGCCAGATTTCTTACGCGCATTTAGCTACCTGGGACAAAGACAGCGCGCCACAATGGCGTACCGTCCACAGACCAACGGATCTGCGAAGCGAATGGCCCAGACGATCACGAGAGCGCTGAAAATCAATGTCCAGGATCGGGATCAAAAGGATTGGACGAATACGCATAGTGTGTCACGTTTGCCATCAACAAGGTCCACGATCAGATCCGGGGTAAAGCGCCCTTTTATTTGGTACATGTGTGGGATCCCAGATCTCCTATGGAGGCTACTATTCCGGTGGGCAGTACCAGAAGGTGAGATCGGGACCCAAGACGATGGCTTTACCAGATCCAGAGATACAATCAACAGACCAGGTCACAAGTGAATCAGCGGATGCGGGAGGCGATTGCAGATCGCGCAGAGCGGCATAACGAGGAGGCTTGTCCTCACCAGATCTCAACAGGATCCCGAGTACGGCTGTACCAACATCGGGTAAAAGGAGGGTACGCGCGAAAGTTGGCCCACCTCCGGCAAGGACCACTCTGAGTGTCGGATAAGATCGACAAGCGCACGCGGTGAGACTCCAGATCCCTGGAACCGGGTACCACTTGTCCCTGATTGTGCATGTCTCCAAGTTGAAACTGGTAAAGAAGTACCCAGAACGGCCTAAGATCCCGACTACGGTGGATAAACGAGATCGAACTGATTTTGACGTGAGCTTGCTACCAGATGATAGTTGGACTTCAGATCTCGGATCCGACGAGCTTGAGGTGGAAAGGATTCGGTCGGGCAAACGTACGAGATACGGTCGGATCTACCGTGAGCGCTTGGTACATTGGCGTGGATGTGACGAACCAAGCTGGGTAGACGAAGCAGATCCAAACTGTGGAGCTCTGTTGTACGAGTTCTTGCGAGACTGCACCAATCGAAGCCGGTTAGGTGTGATGCACCCTCACGAGGTGTAAGCCGAAGAGAGCTACCGACGTGGACAGGACGCGTTGGGTAGGTGTGTGGAATGATGTAGATCGGAGGATGAGTGTTGATGTTTATGCATAATGACACGCACGAAAATGACAAGTGAAGATGGAGATCTGAGAAGGAGAACGCGGATCCGGGACAGGTGCCCGGGTCTCGTAGTAGTGGGCAGGACCCAGCCAAATCGGAAAATGCTGGAGGTGTCGGATTGAACGCTTTAAGCAAGCGAAGATCTCAGATCAGAAGCTGTTTAGGACAATTGGAGGGAAGCACATGGACTACGAAGGTTAAACGGCAAGATGACAAGTGCTATCGGAAACGACTACCGTGGTTAGATCTGAGGGAAAGAAGAAACGGTGGAGCAAAACTGACGACCGCAGCTGGCTACTTGAACTTGGGGAAGATCCCGATCCCGATACAGGGGTGGTCGATGCGGCGGATATCGCCGCTCTGACGTTGTGGAACTTACCCGCCACCCGTAGAACCCGATTCACAGGATGCCGGGATAGATCACTGCGGAATAGGGCTCGGCGTGCCTGCCTCCCGTAAGGCTTTCAGCAAGGAGTCGGCACGGGGCGATTGAGAGTGGGATCCCCAGATTCGCTCGGCGTGATTCAGATCCTGGATACCAGATCACTTTGTCGGCACATGAAGGTAGGTGGATGAAGAAGTAATCGAGGTGGATGGCCAAATCGCATCACCCTTCATGCATCGCGAAAATCGACTACTAAGACGTTCTTCCGCATAGATCCGGCGTGACTACGACGGTTGCTCCGCTTTGTATCGAAGGCAGCCATCCAGGGCGAATCCTGCTGCTTGGACTTCGAGATCAGGAATCGGTGCGAACTCTCCCATTTCGCGATGAGATAAAGGGTATCAAAGGATAGACGACCCCCCCATCGACATATTAGCTAGTAGCTTGATTTAAACCCGCCAAATCCTTCCAGGTTCGGCGGCTCGAAGCGCCACAGTACTGTCTCGCCGGGATATCGGCTGCGTCCCGTGAGAAGATCCCGCCCGGATGCAGAGGGAGTTTACGGGAAACAGCCGTGATCTTCATCGACACCATCGCCACTTTGCTTAACGTTTCCACCGCCCAAGGCATTATGTCAGCTGCACCGAAGATCCAACGCCGAGATCGTCCGGGCACCGACGCGTCTTCTGGACTGAAGGGCTCCTATGGTAACATGATCGTTGGGGCTTTCTTCGCTCGCCGCTTTCTCGATCGAGATCGGGAAGGGGGGGGGCAAAGGTAGAAACCGCTGGAGACGATCTGGCCGGAGAGGATATAGCAGGAGAGGACCTTACTGGGGAGGATTTCGATTGAGATGCAGAATCAGGTTGGCTAAGATCGATCAAAGGTGGATCGACTGCTAGATCTTCGAATCCGCTGGCCCCAGATCCGGCTTCCAGCCGGATCTGGGGCGGAATGCTCGTGCAGCCTCGTCTCTTAACGAAGCCGAGTGAGAGCACGCCGAGTATCTTCTTCCAGTCCCTCGTCCGCCATCCGGGAGTCCTCCGGGCCCTTGGGGCTACCGTCATCTCCATCCGTCTGCTCATCTTCTTTCGAGTGGCCTAACCTTTCCATTAAACCTTGCTGTTATTTTTGGGCAGGGCGTTAAATCTGCCTGTCGCCTTGCTTTGGGGATCATCTTTAGCTTCGTCTTCATCTGCATCCTCAGAGTTGCTGAGTTGGCGATCCCTAGCTAACGGCCTCTTACCCCTGGCCTTGGACCCAATGACCGCAGATCCACAGAATCCCAGACTGCTGGTATTGGGATCCGGATCCACAGAATCCCAGACTGCTGGTATTGGGATCCGGATCCTCGAAGGCACCCCTGTTGTCTTCGATCTCCCAGAGATGGGATCGGGAGCTTCGTCACCCCTGCCTCGGTCAGAACCTAAAGGTGACATGCAGACTTTCTTAAAGGAGCGATAAAATCTCGAGTCAAATAAAGGAGAGAGACTGCGGCGATGCTTGGGAGACACCAGATCTGGACCCAGCTCAACAGGATCGACGATCCAGATGAGGATCTGGAAGGCGAGGAAGAAGTTTGAGAGACCGGAAAATTTGCAGAAGGGCCAGATCGGAGGAAGCCCGCGGTAGCTAACGCCAAATCGCGGTTGGACAGTGATCGTGGGGATTGGGCTCGACTGAGCTCCGGAGTGGCCGATCCAGCGGTAAGGGAGCCCACATATTTCGCGACTGACTGCGCCAGTACCGAATTCGGAACCTCCCTCTGAACTCGAATCGGCTCAATGGCCGCGGAAACGCGCCTCAGCTAACTGCTGTAGAGCGAGATCCCGCTGGTGCTGTGTCTGTCGATGATCGTGAGCTAACTAGTCGTGATGACGTTGGATATCGGCGAGCTGTGGCTCCAACGCTTGGGATGCTTCTTTGGTGGCCTTCAACTTGTCAACTGCGTTAACAAAGCGGGTGAATTCAAGATCCAAGAACTGAAGCCGAGAGCACAGATTAGTATTCCGCTGACGGATCGTAAACTTAAATCGGTCTGTTGACGAGCAGCATCACCTCGAGCGGCACTGTCCTCTCGCATTGGACCTCAATGATCGTGATCCAGTCCTTCAAGCTCCGGAGATCCGCGCCAGCCTTGACTGGTACATCGCTAGCTATACCTTGATCAGCAGCCAACCGAGTGGCGCACTCCTGCGACTCACACAGCCCCGTTAATGTCCAATCTGACCTTAACCAAATCGATATGGCTGGAACTTAAGAAGTTGATCGATGATCACGCGTAGCAGAGTCGCCGTGGGTGTTTCCACCGGACACAGACCCACCATGGCCGAATTGGACAAACGCGGAAGTTTCGATCCCTTCCAGGGCGTTCTGGAGATCGTCTCGAACCTCAAGGGTGCCATCTGACACCGCCAAGCCTGACGTCGCCTCTTCCAGTCCGCACTCCCGATCACGAACGTGCGATTAGAGTTGCTCGATCTCAATTCCGGCCACTTGAAACTCGCGGAAAGGTGGTCGTAGAAGTTTTATAGCTGATACCGCCGACCTAGCGTTCACAGCAGGCGTTGTTCCTGATCCCACAGCTCCTGGCGATGCAGATCCTGATCTCTTGGGTTTCTCAGATGTTCCCAACCTTGGATCTTCGTTGCTTGGTCGAAGATTCCCCACCTCGAATCCCCATTGCTTGGCCGTAGATTTGTTAGCGGAGATCGCAGTTTTGAACGCCACTGGCGGAGATACCTGTCTGTAACGAGGATGGATTATGAGCACCATCTTGGTTTTGACGAGCAAGATCACGCTCGTACGTCACCGTCTGCAGCCTGGCGGTCCGAATATCGACCTGGTTTAAGAACGCCCAGACGAAGGAACGAAGATCATCCACCGAGGCTGGCCGAGACGGGGGCAATTTGGAGAAAGCCACGGCTACGGGCGCTTATCCGTGCCCCCAGTCGGCGCGTTTCGATGGTGCCCTGTCAAGTGTGCTTGGAAGCTCCAATGGGAAAGTGAGAACGTTGTTGGGTGCGCGCAGTGCCACCGTTGTTCGGTGACAATTGGCGGCTGAGGTGAAGTACTTTTTAAGAAATATGAAGACGGGAAATGACTACCGGACACAGGTCTGGATTAGTGACATTGTGGAACCGAGCGCACCGATTTCGGACCCAGGAATTACGAATCAGGACGGAGGTTGTAACGGTTTGGACGGGGGCGACGATGCCAACTTGAAGATTGCAAGAACCAAATTCTCGGTATCATGAGATCTAGGATCCAAAGGAGTGAGCGAAGGATCGCGATCTGGGCCCGAGAGCTAAGATCTTCAGGATCCAGGTGAACCCATGATTCAGAAATATTTTTCCTGATGGAGGGAATTTCTGACGGGGGGTAAATCGGTGATCGGTCACGATACAATGATTGTGCCACAACCCTTTGCCGGTACAGGGAGGATGAACCAAGGAGAGAAAGAACAACTAACCAGGCGTGGTAAAGGATTTAGAGGGTAACGGACAGAGAGGAAACAGATACAGGCTTGTGTAGGCTTAACTTTAAATCAGAACTCAATTTGCACAGTACCAGGCAAGTTCCTTCTTGTCCTTAAGAGGCTAAACTACATTGGCCATACGAGCTGGATAAAAGGTTGGGAATAGCAGATCTAGCGTGAATAGTGATAATGGGATAATATATTGGTCAGATCCTACCACCTAGTGAACCTTTCTTATACACGTTCAGATCTATAAAGGTACTCGGATTTACTACTTGACCGGGTATATCTATCGACTCTCAGCTATGAAGAATCCGCCATAGGAAGCGGCAAGTCCGAAGAAAAGGGATTCAAAGGCAGGGGAACACACCCACAAGGCATCCCTACGGTCAGATTGCAGATCGAGACCGGCACCTCCTACAAGCTCGAAGGCCTAGCTTCTGATCTAGACCTACATCGGACGTATAGTAATGAGCTTACCACTCCTACTCCACCCCATCCCCGCGTCTCGCCAAGACGCTCAAGCTTCCACCTCTTGGACGTGTCCGCAGTTACCAGAGGAGCCAGCCCCCGCCCTACAGACAGTTATACAAGATGAGAAACGTTCAGCAGATAACGAATCATCGGGGACCCCCTCTGATACGTTGTCTAGGTCCTGGTGGGAAGTCGAATCCAGCAATCTCACAAACTTGCTGATCCGCCATACTACATAATCGCTTAGGTGGGAACACCTTCGAAGGTTGTCTAGCGACGCTTAAACGGCTGCTATCGCGCTTTCAGAAGTGTCGGATCGGCGTGAGGCTCGCTAAGCCTCTTTATATTAAGTCAAAGATGGATATCCTATCTCAAGAAGCATCACGGTAGGAAAATCGCGCCTACCCCCCCCCCCCCCCAAAACAGGGTTTTGCGACAATTCCTTTCTCTTAAGTCGAAGAAGGGCATGAGATAAACTGAAGCATTGAATGATTACAACCGCTTCTTTCAAGACTTCGCTACTATACCGGCTCAAAGATACCGACTTCGAAGGGGATGAGGTGACGGCGGTTAAGGCGTCCTCTGTTAGGTCTAAACAGAAGCTTGTCGACGCTCGGATACCTTAACATTTTGATCGAAGTAGGGATGTTTAGACAATACGTTTTTGCGAACGCGTGGGCGCTGGGCGGGGCGCTGAACGGAACGATTCTCCAGGAACATAATCCGAAGCTTTCCACGGAAACTTTTGAAATTTTCGTGTCAGTACTGACGAGGCGCTCAACAAAGTCGCGAAACGAACAGGATTATTGAGGGCTGCTGGTCTTGGTACTGTGTACCAGTTGTACCCATTAACTGGTCAACCTGAACCGGTCCAATACGACCCCGCTGTGATTATGGTACGTTGTTTATGCCACCCATGATTGAACGAGTAGAATGATTGGATAATTTAGGTAGTGAGGACAGTGTAAGCCCCGATAAATCAATCACTTTCGAATCTTCCTTCTTCCGCTCAAGTGTCTTCACTCTGGTCTCCGCACCAAGTGCAGAAGTCACTCCGTTCAGCCCCAAGCTTCGTTCCAACACCTCTACACCATTAACAGGTTATGAGCCCAAGCACCATGTCATCTGGCCACGACGCCTCGACCAAGGTCACCATCGACAAGTTCAACGGTGACAGCTACGCGACGTGGAACCGCTACAAGCGTGGCGTGTTTCTGACCAAGTCGGTATGGCACGTAGTGATCCTGGAGACAACTCCGAGCTTCACGGATATCCGGACCAAGGACGACTACGTCAAGGCGAGCAACATCGCTTTCGGACCGATGTTGCTCCACACGAACGCGGACTACCATAACGTGGTTGATGACTGCGAGGAAGCGTGGGGCGCGTGGACGCGCTTGAAGACGCTGTATAGTGGGTCGCAGAAGGCTGGTCACATCTACCTGAAGCGCCAACTCTTCAGCATGGAGATGTCGGAAGGCGGCAATGTCTTGCATCATTGCAACGAGGTCCTCAGCATCGGCGCCAAGCTCAGCAGCATCGGCGCCAAGATGGAGGACGAGGACGTGGCGATCTGCTTACTGCGAAGTCTCCCCAAGAGCTACGAGAACGTCGTACTCACTCTGGAGACGAGCAACGCAGAGCTGCGGTCGCAAGACGTTGTGAAACTGCTCACAAACGAGCACATCAAGCGACAAAGTGAGAAGACGGCGACGGTGAAGACTGAATACGCGGCTAAGGCGTTCAACACCGACCGAGAGTCTCGCCAATGCATGTACTACGGGAAATTGGGGCACATGATTGACAAGTGCTGGACCAAGCAGAAGGATGAGGGTCGAGGTGCTCGACGCGGCGGCAACGGCCGTGGACGCGGTGCTAACAACATCCAGTGGCGAAACGACGGGAATAAGGCAGCTATCAATGGTGTGGGGACCATCGTGGAGAGAGTGGTCCTGTCCAACGCGCCGAGCGCAAGATCGAGATCAAGAACGCGCTCTACGTGCCTAACATGAGCAATAATCTGCTTTTCAGTACCACAGATCAACAAGAATGGAAAGTGTCAAGTGGTGTTCGACTGGCACCGAGATGCAAATTTCACGCAAGGCCCTGAATCAAGTGGTGGCATCGGCGGATCTCGTAGATGGACTTTAGTGGCTTCGCACGCCTCGTCGATCAGCAAATGCGGCGACAACTGGAAGGACGGTCGACCTGCATGCGCGTATGGGTCACGCTCCAGCGAGGTGCTTCGCAAGATGCTCGACAACAAGATGATCAAGAACGCGAAAGCCTTCCAAGCCAAGCGGACCAAGTCTGTGTCGCGGCTGCCAGCAAGGCAAGATGGTCCAAAAACCATTCCCTAGCAACCGTGACAAGCGTCGCTACGACACCTTCGAGTTGCTTAACTTCGACATTTGCGGGCCCATGGAGAAGTCCTCGCTTGGTGGCAGCAAGTATTTGCTACTGATTGTGGACGAAGCCAGCGGATGCATGAAGGATTTCTGTCCGCATGCCAAATCAGAAAGCGAAGACTACATCAAGACGCACATCACGAAGGCGCAGAAGCAGTTTGGCAACAAGGTCAAGTTCGTGCAACACGACGGAGCTCGTGAGTTTGCGACTAACCCGCTTAAAGATTTCTACGGAGACGAAGGCATCGAGCAGCAAACCACGGTTCCGTATGCGCACAAGACTAACGGCACGACAGAGCGGACCATCCGCACCATCGTCAATATCGGCCATAGCACGCTGCATCATGCCAAGCTGGACAGTTGTTTCTGGAGTGAAGCGGCGATGACGGCCATCTACGTGAAGAACCGCCTGCCGTCACCAAAGATCGAGTGCAAGACTCCGTTTGAGATTGTGTACAAGTCCGCGCCGAGTGTGAAACACATGGGCGTCTTCGGCTGTCGAGCTTCCATCTTAACTCCAAAGGCGAAACGGCTCAGGTGGGATCCGAAGACTCGCGCCGGATTGCTCCTGGGCTACGGATAAGTATCCAAGGCGTATCGACTTTATGACATCGAGGCGAGGCAGGTGGTTATCAGTCGCGATGTCAACTTCGATGGATCGACCTTTGGACTTTCAGAGCCTATTTCCGATGAAGATGTCGACGACCTGGACTTCGTCTCTCTCGACATTGACAATGGCGGTTCGCGCCAGCCAGAACACAGGCAGGCGGGGAAGCGCAAAAGCCGCCCGAGTGAAGATGAATCTGCCACAAGACCGCGAACTACGCGTCATCGACCCGGCCTGGAAGAAGCAAGTGCGCCAACCAATTCGTCTTCGCGTCGAGCAGACGCAGACGAAGAAGAAAAAGCTGGAGATCAAGATGAAGAATCGACTCCCCCCGCATTTTGGCATGCAAGTGCCACCGCAGTCGAAGCTGCGGTGGACCTATCAGAGCCGGCGACTTTCCAAGAGGCGGCGAACGGCCCCGACCAAGTGCACTGGCCCAAAGCAATTCGTGCTGAGCTCAAGTCGATACGACTTCGAGGAGTGTTCCGTGCTGCTAAGCTGCCGAACGGACAACGCGCCATTGGTACCAAGTAGGTGTTCAAGATCAAGCGCAAAGCGGACGGATCGATCGAGAAGTACAAGGCACGCCTCGGGACCAAGGGCTTCAAGCAAAAGTACGGCATCGACTACACTGAGACATTCTCACCGGTTGTCAAGTACGTGACGTTGCGCATGGTGATCGCTACGGCCAAGTACTTTGGCTGGCCGCTAGATCAACTAGACGTGGTGACGCCTTTCCTGTACGGCGTAATGAGGGAGATCGTGTTTTGCGTGGTTCCCGAAGGTGTTGAGCTCGACGGTGACTTCGACTGCCTGGAATTGGTGAAGGCTGTTTACGGTCTAATACAAGCTTCGCGCGTGTTGAACGAGACCTTCGACGAGATCGTATGCTCTATCGGCTTTTAAGTTTCGGCCTTTGATCCGTGCCTCTACATCAAAATTGTTGCTGGCCACTGTGTGCTCATACCGGTCTACGGCGACGATGTCCTGGTCACCGGAAGCTCACCCGAGCTGATCTCACGCACGAAGGGCGACCTCAAGACACGCTTCGAAATGACTGACAGCCGCAATTGCGTATTCGTC